TTTGAGTTGCAACCAGAGTCACGGAACGGATTAAATTCGTAACTCGAGGTTCCACTGTACTCCAGAAAGGCCTCAACTATAACATGGACAATGCTGATCAGCTAGAATTCTGTGCAGCCTGAGAAGCAGCATTTAAACTACAGGACTTAATACAGAGACCCAAGAAAACATAAGTCAGACAATCATACCACACATCAGAAGAACACAGAATCAGCACCAACTCAAAGCAGAGGACAGAGCAGCCCTCAAAAGCCTAAGAAAGGACCAAACCATCATTCTCCCCGCAGATGAAGGCTAAACCACGGTTGTTATGGATAAATCACAATACTTGGAAAAAGCCAAAAAATTATTAGAGGACAAAGAAACCTACATCCCAGTTAACACCAACCCAATTCAGAAACTAGACAACCTAATCAAGAGAACCCTTAACGACCTAACCAAGAAAGGCCATATCATAAAAGAAGAACAGTGGTGGATGAAAAGCAGTGGACCCATCCTCCCACATTTCTATGGATGACCAAAAATACGCAAGCGCAACATACCTCTCCAACCAATTGTATCCTTACCAGGGACTCCAACTTACAACATAGTGAAAGAACTGACAAAAAAGCTTGGACATCTCACAGAGAGGAACGAATATTCTATCAATTCCTCACTACAGTGCCTCCAGAAAATCAAAGATGTACACATAGATGAAGATGAAATTATGATCTCATTTGCTGTCACAGCACTCTTTATATCCATAGACCCAGAACTGGCGAAAGAATCTATGGCAGTAATACTACACAACACCCAACCTACCAGATACACCAAGATCGAAATACCAAGAATCATGGCCCTCATCAACCTCTGCCTCACTACCTATTTTCAGTTTAATGGACAAATATGCTAACAAATCAGAGGCACACCCATGGGAGCACCACTCTTAGGACTCATAGCAGAGATTGTAATGCAACACCTACAAACTATAGCACTTCCACGCATACAACCAAAAGTTTGGATCTGGTATGTAGATTACACCTTTGTTATAATAAAAAAGGAACAACTAGAGAAGACACATAAAACTATCAACAACATCTTCAAAGGAATAAAATTCACCAGAGAGGAAGAAAACAACAACACGCTACACTTCCTGGATATCCTCATCAGCAGACGAAACAACAGCAAATTAGAAACCCAAGTCTATTGAAAAACAACCCACACTAACGAAGTACACCATTACCAAAGA